ATCCATCCTTTCATTCTGGAAAGAATTGAGCTCCTTGTCGATCGGACAAGCCTGAAAATAGTCGCAACGATGGAATCCTCCCAATGAGCGACGGATGAAAAAATCTTGGAATCCGGCGAGGCTCCTATCGATTTCATCGAGTTCTCGATTGACAAGAAGCAGCAAAACGCTTCAAATTCAGACGTTCGCCTCGCTCACGTTGACGTAGCCCAAAGATATCGTCGTCGAACGCGACATGGCGCGACGAACTTATCGCTGATAAGTCGGAGCACCTCTATGCGAAACGGCGGCCAAGAATAAATTCAGGCGTTTCGTCCCGACCGATCGGTCCCCCAGGTAGGTTTCTGAAAGTTTCCGCCCGGAGTTATTCGGCGGAAATTCAAGAGTTGGTCGCCCATATTCCCTGAACGGTGATAGCTCCGGTTCTTCCTCTCCCTTGTCACTTCCCATCATCCCTAGGATATTTCGCAGATGAGACAGACTGATTCACAGACATTTTAGACGGTATGCCCTAAGGCTGAACGGAAGCTCGAGAGAAAAGTTCCGCTGCGGACATTCGGTCTCGCTTACGGCTGTCTATTCAAAGTTTTTTTATGTTGTATATTTCACAGATGTGTGCTTTCTCTTTTCGCTCCGTGTATCATGAACTGCGCTTCGACGTAGACAGCTGCAGACAAGCGAACGTTGTCAGCAGTTTTACTTTCTCAGAAGTTCTTCTCAAAAATGATTGAGCCAGACCAGGCGTTTTGAAACCGCTGTGATGATTGTGAAATCCGTCATCATTACCGTGCGTCACGCGAGCGAAAGTATTTTCTCGTTTTCTGTTCCCATTCGAGTCTTGCAACTCCGTACCCCGTGTCTTCTGCGTCTACCTGCCCCCCCCCTCCCGACCCTCTCCCCTACAAGGAACCCGGGTTCCTTCCGTGCATCGTTCGGAAACAAGCCTGCTTGGGAGTAAGATGAGCTCCGGTGAGCAAATAGGAAAGACTTTCATTATTTCCTTTTTTTCGTTTAGAACGTTCGAGAACGCCGACGCGTATCGAGTTCGTGGTCGATGCCTAAAGTTGAGTCGACTGATTCGGATGCAGAAGCGTCTCGCGAAAAAAAACCCAATGAGACTTCTCGATTGTACTTGCCTTTCGTCTCCATTTCTTTCTCGAGTGCGTCGCAGTGCGGTACCTTTCTGTCAATAATAATTGACCCCGAAAGCGAAGTCGGGGATCCCGATCGCCTCCTCGACGGATTCGGAGACAAAATACCCACCTCAGAGCGGATTCTGAGATAGCTCACTATTCCGTCGCTCACGTTTCTGGAGGGCTGAGGGGAGCATGATTTCGTTTGAAAATGGGGGAGCCGGAGTCAATCTAGACTAGAGTACGCGACAGAACTTTGAGCCCCGCTTATTCCAGCTAAAGACCCGACAGGGCAGAATTAATGAAGCGACATCGGAGCATCATCGATCAATTCCACAATCAAGTCGCTACGCGCAGCATCTGACAAAGCAGCGGGAAATATTGATGGGAGCACACGAAAAAAAATGATTCCACATACAAAGGAACGCTCGATTGACAGACGCGTCTAGCCTGCCTCCTTTCGGAAATTTCTCTCTTGAGACGGTTCCAAGCCGGTCTCCGCCTGGCGAGGGAAACTTCAGTGAAGTTCAAGGCCGCTCTCATCGGGAAAGATCCAGACATGCGCTTTCGGTGCCAGAAATCTGCCGGAGAGTCGATCCTCTGCTCGAGCGAAGCAACCACGCGTGTCTGGAGCTCGAGCGCGTCTCATTCAAGAGGTTTTTCTAGGAATCGTGGGTTGCGTGGAATCCACGTCTGTGTGTGACCACGGTATTGTGATCTCCGTCCGTGATTCCTGTCCAAGCGGAGAACCGGCGAGGGGACGTGGTGTCATACATCGGAAAGAAACAAGTGTCTTGGATGGGGAGTGTCCGGACGATGCTCAGTGCTCGCTCGTGGGACTAGCGGCAGAACACCGAAGGTAACGAGCGAGACAGAAATCGACGGAGCCGAACAGAGAAAACTACGGACAGCGAGAGCTTCTTCCTACCTCGTAAGTCGTTGCATATCGACGGTCTATTATACAGCGAACACCAAAGCCGAGGACAGAGGTTATAGCCTGCCGTTACTTTATTTGTCATGCAGACGACGTCGGTCCACAAAGAGGAACTTTACGATATGGCTTCTTCTATCAGACCAGATTCTCCTTTCACTATCGGCGGGGAACGTCTTCACGCATTGTGTTTGAACTCCATTTGGGTCGGGAACTCTCTGGTCTCGTATAAGGACGCGGCGCGGGAATCCTCACTGCATCTCCTCTGGAGTCGAGGACGACTGCGCGAGGATGTTTTTCTGAAATTCTGGGAGACGGCTCGTGTCTAGCTGAAATCGGAGCTGTTTCAACGGTACACAGGAGCCCAACAGATACGAAGCACAGATGCGCTGAAGAACTCGAAAGGAAAATTCCATGAGGAGTGTTTGCGAGAATTTCCGGCGAAAAACTGAAGAGACTTCCCGATGACGAGTCCGATGATTTTCGAGGAGCAGCACACGTGTGCTCCCGCATTCGGTAGATCGACCGCGGATAGCTCGGCTTGGGCTTCGATCGAATTCCTTCGACCTCGATCTGTCATTGTGTCCGCTGAGCAGTTCCCGAAAGTTGAAATCTAGAGGTTTATCAGAGGTGTCATGAGGTTCTCGCTCGAGCATACCGCTGGTGATTTTAGCACCTCTCGATCGAGCGAAAGGGTCGTGGAATGAATTCAATCAGGTCATACATATGTAATTTTTTCTGCTGACTCTCGATGCAGCTCACTGAAAACGGTTTTTCGCCTTCTCCATCCTTCTGTAGGCAGATAAAGGAGGAAGAAGGGATTGGGGAAGGATTTTGCGCCTTCCCGACCGTGGCCGAAAAATGGCGAAGTCAATAGCTGTAAATTTTCCGCCCAGCGTGAGGCGCGAAGTGGCCGGGAGAAGCAGGCAAGAAACGCGCCGATCCGAGGAGGTGGTCGTCCCCGTACCGTTAGTCGAAAGTAGCCACGGCTGGAAAGAAAAGAAGGAAAATAAATACGGAGTCAAGAGCGAAAAGGATTTCCAGAAATAAATCATCGATATCTGGGCTTTTGGTTCAAGAGCTCCGTCCCTGCGAAGGGCTTGACGACGATCGAGAGGAAGGCTTTGTGAAGCAGACGGGATTTTTCGTCGACGTTCGCTGTCGACTAACGCTCTGTGAGCAGCATTGATCATGGTGCTGCTTACGGCCATGGAGGTGTCATTTTCTCTCCTCCTCTCGAGGCTGAAGAGAACTCGAGAACCGCTGGCCAAGCAACCGAAGATGACAATGGAACGCCCTAGAATTCATAAGGGCGCACTGCAACTTTGACCGAAGACATGGCGATGAGCCGCTCTCGAGCAGCTCGGATGATTAAGCCGCGAACTTACGATTGAGAACGACAGCTCGCGGACCGAGAGCTTGATTCCCGACGAATTCGCCCGCCGGAGATGCGAGAGACACGTTCTCCGATTTATTCATTCTCAGATTGAGTCGTCCGCTGAGGATGACAGATGACAGATTTACAGCTCATTGTGGCTCCAGTCGGAGGAGGAGGAGGGACAACTTCATCCGAAGCCGAATTTCTCAGGAATTCTCTGGGCGATTCCGGAGCCTGGTCAAACGAGCCTCTGAGATCTCCAGATACAAGATTTGTCCGATTCGATAAGTTTCTCTCGTTCAATCTCTGTTGGAACTTTTTCATTATGAAAAAGTCCAGGCACACGAATCGAAGGAAAAGAACCTTATGTTCACAAGGAAATATCGAAGAACTTTCGTGACGGAATCAGGGTCAGGGAGGGAAAGTCCCTTGCGACCTTTCTTCGAGCGTACTCCTATGTTTCAGTGGATAGAGCTCAGGCTCTACAGCGGTCTAGACTACGGTCGAACGATTTGAAGAGCGGAGAAATACACTTGCGGGCCCCTCCTTGCTAAAGACTCGGAGCGATCGATTTCCGTTGCGGACCTTCTCTCATGATCGCATGATCGACCTGATCGGTATATGTCGAAGGTGTCTGGAGAGAACGACGATTTTCGGCTCGATTGCAATGAGATAATAAGACGCTGGTCTCCTTACCTCGGAACGAATCTCTCGAATTATCGCGGTCGAACTGGCAGGAGGTTTCAATTCGAGACGGGTGAATCGTTCTGCTCCGTCCAAAGGATGCTGAAAACATTTCTAATCAGCGACTCCGAGCGACCGCATCTCATATCTCCGTCCTTCGGCGCTCGCGGAATACCAAAAAGTCAACAATGCAAATCGGGAGGTTCCCTACGCGGTCCAAAAACGTGGTGCACCCTAAGACGCGCGGAGAACTCGAAGCAGCAAACGTATGCGAAAACCACGGAACTTCCGCACTTAGATTCCCATTTCCGATGAATTCATCCCATCTCGAGACAAGAATAAGAGGGAAATGAATCACAACACGAGGAAATACACCGGACGTGCGATCTGAGATCTCGAATATTCGTTTGGGTATATTCATGACGTGTCGACTTCGCTCGCGATTCAAAAACCATCTGGGAGATCCAAATCGCTCGCTGGTACGCATGAAACCTACCGCAGAAACTCGTCCGATTCCCTGAACGTTCAGAGCGAACTAATATCAACAAAATCGGCGAATGGGCATGTTCAACGCACGGATAGGCTGGCTATCTTCCGATCTGACGGTGGCAAGAATTCCAGTAGTCTCGCAGGCAGACATGGAGAAGGAGTCCCTGGTTGGCTATCTGACAAGCTCCCTCTCCCTAACGGAGACCCTACTTGTTCGATCCGGCAACCGGCACCAGCAGTAGCAGCACCAGCAGTGGAAGTCTGACCAGCGGGGCTGGCGCCGGTGGATGTGAAGTGGCGAGTTCGTTCATTCATCCTTCCATCCAGTGATTCACACCTTCGAGTCTGCGTCGGGAGCCCACGCCGAAATCCCCAGCGTAGTGACGTTCAGTCAATCCAGGATAAACTAGGGAACGTTCCGTCGGAATCCCCTCTAATTCGATCGGCGGAGCCGATTCCGTCCGGAAATTCTCAAACCGCGACTCGACTTGTGATGGCGTCTCCACGTGTTGAACAAATTCAGAATTTTCCCGAAGGTGAGTCCTCCGCCAATTCATATAGGAAGTCCTCACTCCAGACTCAAGCTACTCGCGGAATGCAAGTAGCGTCGGAGCCTCCGATGTCTCAGTCGGTCATCGAACGTGGAGTCGCGGGCGTTGGTGATCAATTATTATTTGGACTCCGAAGGAAGTGTCGTGCTTGACGTTCAGACAGTCGATCGACTCTTACGGCGGCTCATTTATCCAGAGCTGTCAGCGATTTTTTCTGGGGTGTTTCAACAAACGTTAGCGTCGCCTGCCGTTGCATAACAACAACTCGATTGTTCAGTCGCCAGATACATAACTACGTTCGGTAGCTTCCTGGCTCGGCTGCGGAGACTTCGCGAGAGATTTCTGCTCCCGTGACTGGCTCGCTCTGACGTGAGAGATTACCTTCGCGGCGTCCGTCTCTGGGGAGCCTCGTGATGCCTCCGATTCGAGGCTCAGTGTTCCACACTTGTGTGGTTCGGGATGCATAATCGAGGCTGATCAAGACTTGTCTGTGTTCGTGGACGATATTTTTCGGAAGGCCTGGAAGGCTATCCCGCTCGACCCTGGAAGGATAGGCAACGAGCGACCCGTACAAAACGCCCTGAGTGAGAGTTTACCGCGTGGAGTTTCGTTTTCCCGATGAACGAACTGTGCGATCGCGAAACCTCAGCTCATCGCTCCTTCCCGTGGTCGCGAACGATCTCCAGACCAATGACTTCCTGTCCTTGAACTTCGGTTGAAGGAAGTTTCATCTCTGCGTATACCCGTGAGTCATAACACTCAAATTTTCTCTATCGCGAGCTTGGGATATCCCCAAACAGAGAAACCCGACCCTCGACTCGACACACGCAACTCCGCACTATCATTGAAGAGTTCCCTATCCTTGGATTTTTTTTATCCTCAATATCCAAATACGGCGCTCTTGCGTTGAGACCCTCCCCTGCGGAATCCGTGGCAGGTTCAACAGCCTCGAATCGAATTACAGAACATCGAAAGTCGTCTGACGCCGTCGTCTGCACGACAGGTGGTTCAGTAGGACATGACGATGTCAACGACGACGGCCTTGCGTTGTCTTCATTGGTATGGATATTTTATCCGCCCCGACAATGCTGGCCTGTCGACTTCTAGTCTACGGACTGCGACCATGTCAGTGATGTCGACGACGACAACTTCGCGACGTTGTCGCCGCTGATACTCGCTAAATGGTTATCGATTCGGCGAATGACTTACGACAGCAGCGTACATTGAGATGTTTTGTCAAATAGCCGTTTGCCCGCTACCGCGGTGTTCCCGCCGGTTCCTTGGCTGCGGACGCTCGTTAGACTGGCGGTGGTGGCGGCGGCACGGTGCGCTAAATGCTCTACCGATTGGCGTAACTGGATAACTGGGTTCGGCGATGCTTGGCATCTGACCAGAATAACTCGTTAGGACAGAAGCACCGACGAGTGGACGGAACTTTTCCCCTTCGGGGTGAACATAAAACCGCCTGCATCGGGGAGTCGAGAGGCGGTTCACGTTCCGGTATGGGGACTTCGGTTTTCCGACGACTGTATAAGCATTCGCTTTCCTCGGTTATTGGGCTCTTTTTGTTTCCAGCGCATTTCTTTTTGTGCTTTCTTTTCCGGAAACCGCTTCAGGCGGGGAAGCGCATGGTCGTTCCGTGTTGCTTCCGCTGCCGATTTTTCCTAAAGCGGAGAGGTAAGCGATGACATCGACGCTTTGTGACGCGGGGGACAGCCCTCATTTATTTCTCCGTCAACTTCTGCGTCCGATTCTCCTGTCATGTGAGCTCGTGTTCACGCATCCTCGAGCTCCCGGTCCTCACCTCCAGAGATCCATGCTTGCAGTCTGCTACAGTGGGACCGTCATCGAGGCTAGATGTTAAATTTTTCGCATAGGAATGGCGCAGTGTTCTAGCTGCGAACGCGGGTCCAGACTAATTCCTGGCCATCATTGATTGGTAACCTGCCGTGGAGGGCCGACGCGACCAGTAACGACGTTCCGTTCAGGAAACGATCACTGACACCAGAGGTATGCATAAAAGTTTGTACCAGTTGTCCCGCCGCCGTCTATTACGCAAGCCGGTGAAGTATCAAATGGAGTATCAAGCGTGAGCAATCCGTCGTGGAATTCGTCGCCAATCGATATTCGTCGATGTGCCCGCAACCCTTCCATCAGTCAAGCGTCTGCTGGGTAATTCGCCCGGCACTTTGTCTGTCAGTTTTTCGGCCCCGGTCGATTGCTCAACACTCAGTTGACTCTCCGAGGATGCTCTCTCATCGAACGATCACTTATGAGTCTAGTGGATGGACTTCGAAAGACAAGCGAGTCTATCTGAGAGTACGGAATTTCCCACAATCAGTAGCTGGATCAGAAGGTACATCGTAACGGTCCGCCGGGAGCAGGGCGGACGATCGGAATAAGAAATTCGGTGTCGGATTGCATAAGCAAAAATTATCTACTCGGTGCCATCGACTTGAATCGTATCATCGTCACCGACCAGAAATCCCACGGCGGCACTGGCTGCTTGACCAAAACATTCAAACCACGATTTACTCGATTCGATCGACCGGGACCATACTGGCTTCACGGGAAAAAATTCTCGCGTGACTGCGGTTTCTAAGCTCTCGTCGCCCTAACCGACTGACTGAGCCTCCGAAGGGCGAGGCGATCGAGCTTCCAGCGGGCTCGCGACTTTCGAATGAAAATCGCTCTCATGACCTCGCAGAAGCCGCAGCGGCCTGGCGCAACGCTGGACATGCGGGGAATCCCGCTCCGATCCCGTCACTGGAACTCTCTTGCGAGGGCGCAACCCCTCGGTCACACCTGAGACTCAGAGTTTCCCTGTTAGGGCTCGATTCCGAAAGAATCTACACATTTGTCTCTCGGACCGGAACCACAACTCTCGCCCGATCCGGGAGTCCAGGAGAAAAGTAAACTAGATTATAGAGTCGGAGTCGGCGATGACAGAGACTCCCGCTGGAACCTCAGGCGGATGAGTTCGAGGGGGGAGAGCCGTTCCAGACTGGCTGAAGTCAACGCATCGCCTTCTTCTTCTCCACACAACATGTGGACGTTGATTTGATTGGTGGCGTTCGGATGCTATACCACACTAAAACTTGTCCAGCCGACGACTGTCTGGCTCGACGGCGGGTGCCCCAGCGTTCGGCTGGTGTCAATCAAATACCGCTTTGGTTAGGACATCGCGGTTTCGATCACGAGCTTCGCGTCGTCTTCTTCCGCGCTACTCCATGGAAATTGATTGAATGCTGCATCTGATGCGGATGCTGCGCCGCCTCGGCCCCCGAACGCCATTTCCACTGCACGGCCAACACCGACGACAATGATCTTCGCTTATCATCTCCGTCATGTTCAGACATCCGATCTAATCAGGCACTGGAAAACTTAACAGTTTGTTTTGGCCAGCAAACCAAGTCCGTTTGTCGCCGATTGTGTCACTAGCGTTTCGTTACCGACACAGACCCTCATTCGTTTGCGGAAAATATGCCATGAGAAGAAAACATTTCGAGCGTTTGCCAATACGAGATTTTGGATCCCGGGGCGATTTCGCGACAGTGATTCCCGGATCTGCGGATCCTGGATTGACCGACGACGTCTCTACACTGGCTCCCGATTGGTGCGGACGTCCGCTGAAAAAAGTCAAAAGAGTCAAACGGTGATTTTTTCTCCCCCTCGGCGACCAACTAGTTCAACGGGCGCCGACCGCTATTTTTCCCCTTTCGAATTCGGACACTGCGTCCAGAAACCGCAATCTGCCGACTCGTTTCATGCTGCCGCGAAAAACGTTCTGAAAACCAACATCGTGAATTAACGTTATCCAACATCTAGACGAGAAGCAGCAGCCGCCGCGGCAGTCGGGAAGTCGTCGGACGCAGAAACAGACAGTCGATTAAGAATGATCGAAATAAATTATAGCGGAGATGTTCGAAATTATTGCAGAAGTGTTTGCCGAGCTTTGCACTGTCTGCCGAAGTCGCAACAGAAGTGTTCATCTCACGACGTGGCGCGAGTCGAGCCATCGCGGATGATTGTGAATAGGTATTTAAACGCACGACCACCAATGACAGGGTCTCCAGACCGGCCGGGCTGTCGCGGTATTGCAGTCGGGTGACGCGAAGGCAGTTTAGTGCGGAAATTAATCGAGACCGAGTAAGTCAGAAATGCTGACGAAGCGCACGCCAACCCTGCCTGCGGACTATTATCGAGATCTACTCGGCTCGCGCCGGTCGGGTCCGGGGAAGGAAAGTTGAAAATTGAATGACTCGATTAGACCAAAGCAGCTGCTAAGTGCGTGGAACTTCCGTCGGTACGTTTCGCGGCTCCAGCGAGACGCAGCGTGCTTATCCGTGGTAGAAATCGCGAAATTTCCCGGACCAGGTATTTCATATGATTTGATCAGCCTGAGCTCGGCGCGGTCAGACTCACCAGGGAAAAATCACTCAGAGCGGACTACTCCGCCAGCATGCTGTCAACATCCGACCATCTGAGGACAAGGTTGAAACCGGTCGAGTGTTTCCACTCGGTAGCGCTGCCCGTTCAAGCTGAAGGTCGAATCGGGTAGAAAAAAACTGTCATCCGACCGTCGCATGGATGAGCCGTCGATGCGATGAGGGAGAACCGTTGCGTTCACCGATACGGAATTTCAACACGCGAGAGGATCAGAAATCGGCAGAAGTACCGCTCATTGCGGACGGGGGCAAACGTTCTTGGAACGTTAGGGTCCCCTTCACAAATCGAGTGTTCGGCCGATTGTTGTGGGTGACAACGCGGGTTTATTTCCGGCAGGGTTTTATTTTCCGCGACCGCTCTACTCCAGCCGAAGTCAAACAGATGTAAGCCGTCAATCATTCGTTGAGCCGGTCGGCCATCCATCCATCCGGTCGCTCGGACAGTCGGTCGCAAAGCAAAACTTCTGCCACCGGGTTTTCCCCGACGAATCGCAGAAATTCCGCAGATGCTCTTGTCACAGTTCCGATAAAGCGTCC